ATATAGTTTGGATATCTCATGTTGAAGTGTGATCTCCAGTGTTGAGGTGGGCCTAGTAGGAGGTGTTTGAATCATGGGGTTGATTCCTCATGAATGGCTTGATGCTGTCTTCATGGTAGTAGGTGAGTTCTCATTCTATTACAGCTAATGCTCGACTTACGACCACGATTGGTTCCGACAGACCGGTCGTAACACGATTTGGTCGTAAGTTGAGTAGGCTATATGTACAGTACTATGAAATGATGTTATAAAAATCTTTAAGTCATAGTTTATCATAATTTTCTTTCATTATTTTTATATATCATAATTTTCTTTGTTCATTTTATGCCATTTGTATCATCTCTACACCATTTTGTTTCTTATTTTCACATTCGTCAGGTTTAAGTAAAACACTGCATTACCAGTACAACTGGTTTAATATTTGCAAAACATACAAAATTACAAAATACAGGTGCATACAAAAATACAAAATACAGGTGTAAAAAATACCATAGGAAACATTTTCCCAATTGCAAGACATATCAAAATATATAAACATGTACGAAACATTTTATTGGCCGCTGGTGCTTGGCTGCAGATCGTTGATGTCGTCATCTGAGGCAGCAGTTGGGGTTACCGGAGTTGGTTTTTTCATAAACATGGTGAGCTTTGTCTGAATTGTATGTTTCTTTTTTCTTTATAAATTTCACGATACGGACGAAACACATCGTGCACCATCCGTTCAATCCTTGCAAATCGTTCGATGTTTGGGTCCATTGCTTCGAAATGTATAAGAAGTTTATTCAGTAAAGATAAACCGGCTGATAATCCCTTAGTGGTGAACTTTCTTTCTGGCTCCTCCTCTTCTTTCTCTGCTTCTCTTCTTTCTTCTTCCGCCACTCTTTCTTCTTCCAGTTTGATTAGCTCATTTGTAAGTTCTCTGGATTCTTTGTCTAGCAACTCTTCTACATCTTCCATTTCACACTCCAAAGAAATGTCTTCAGCGAGTTTTACTATTTTTTCCTGAATCGTTTCAAGTTCATGTTCACTGTCAAATCCGTCAAAATCATTAACATAGTGCTTAACACAATTTTTCCAGATGCCATTCATGCACTTTGTCGTCACAGCCTCCCAGGCGGTAGCGATATTCTTGATACACATCAAAATGTTGTAGTGTTTCCAAAAATCTACAGTGGAGCAGTCATGGCTAGTGATTGTGGTCGTAAAGTCGAATGGTCGTAAGTTGCATAGGTCGTAAGTCGATCAATACCTGTAGTTCATGCAAGAGCTGGTTGTTTAAAGAGCCTGGCACCTCCTCCTTGCTTTCTTGATCTTTCTCTTGCCATATAACATGCCTGCTCCCCTTTCCCTTCCACCATAAGTAAAAACTTCCTGAGGCCTCAGCGGAAGCCCAGTAGATGCTAGTGAAGCAAATAAATCTCTTTTCTTTATAAATTACCCAATCTCAGGTATTCTTTTATAGCAATGCAGAACGGACTGACGTAGGAGGTAAAAGCTGTATTTGGATTTTCTACTGCATCCCTAACCCCTGTGTTGTTGAAAGGTCAACTGCACGTATAACATTTACTGTAGTAGCCATCTTTAGATATACAACTTAGTGGTGTTAAGTAAATTCACATTGTTTGTAACTGATCTCCAGAACTCTTCATCTTGCCTGATTTAATTGGAAAGATTTATATGGCCCCTTAACTATTTCACCTTTAATGCCATACCTTGTAGTTTTCCTTTTCTTGCACCTGTAGTTGATACGTCCTGGTCAGCGTAGGGGTTAAGGGATGTGGATAAACTTATTTCATAATGTATGGAATATACTGATACTTTTTTTTTCATAGTTTATTAACTTCTGTGTGTGCCTTGCAAACAAAAACCGATGGTGTTCTATTGGCGATATCACAGCTCAGTTTTTTTGATAGCATAGTCTGTTACTGAGTCAGTTCTGTAGGAGGTCAACACTAGTTGTTAAGAGAGAGCTGGTTTTGTGAACGATGCTCATTAAAAAAAAGAGAGAGAGAGAGCTGATTTATTGAAACACAGAAGTTGCTGGAGTGCCCAGAGGCTATTACCTGTATTTACAGCATGGTGGAGTGTGTGGTTGGTTCAGATTTCTCCTAAAGACCACAGTTAAATTAGAAAAAAAAAAATTCTCTGTGGTACAGAGTGACAGTGAGTAGGTTTTTGGTACTTTGACTTTGGTTTCTTGGTGCCTTACAACAGGTTTATCTGAGGCTGGACTGCCTCAGACTCTAGTGTTCTCTATAGATGTGCTATAAATATCTTTTTTAGGGAGTAGAAGATATGAAGTTCACATTTGCTAAGATGGATTTCTATATGCTCTAATTTTAGCATGAAAGATTTGAAACTCTGTTTGGCAAACTATTATCCAAATAAAGTTATGTCAAAGAAATGAATTTCTTAGGTTCATTTCATGAACTAATTTTATTCAGCTCTTGATTACATTTCCTGTGTATAGAGCATGTTTCACACTTGGTAGCTGACTCTCATTTAAAGAGAATGAATGGCCAAGTTAAATGAATGTCCTTTTGAGCAGTTTTCAAGTGCATGCATTTCTGATTGGTTTTGTTTGCCTTATTCAATGGAGAGAATAATGCTTTGTGGCCAGTTTCATTTTAAGAGGGCAATGTTGAGTGATTTTTCATAATTTAAAATATGAATAATTATGCTCTCAAATTGTGTATTTGATGGAAACTTAGAACTGAAATCTTGGCTTTTCTTTCCCTCTGGCTTTGGACACTGCTGCCCAGAATGTTTTGGACAGGTGTGCTGTGCTGAATTTCATGTAAATCAAATTTTCTTTTTTTAATATTCAAAACTGACTATTGTATCTTTGTGAAGGAATGGAAACAATGGGGATCAAGTTAAAAAGGGATTGTATTTTCCTTTGCTCATTCTCAGAGCAGTGCAAGAGAGAAGAAAGCCCTCAAATCGGTGTTTACCCATGGCTGTACTAGCACTGATATGCCTTTTTTAAAACCAGTTATTTGAAATTTAGTTAAATAGGAACATACTTGTTTAATGGTAATTTGACCTTGCCTACAGTAAATTTTTGGAATGTTCATTAGGTTACAGTATATAATTTAAATATTTTTCAGTAATCTAAACCTTTTTTCAGCAAATTTGTATTTTATGAAATGTGCTAACAGTGTCTTAAATGACATTTAAGGATAGTGTACTGAGAATGGTGGCCAGCTCTTCGTCCATCTCCACAGAACAAGAAGAAATAGACTTAGATTATCTTTTGGTGAACATAAATATAATTCCCTAATATTAGGGTCAGTAAGACATAAATCTTTACAGCTGATATTTATTAAAATAATGGCACTTAACATTTTAGTATCTGCTATGTAGCTGGCATTGTATTAAACATTTTACATACATTATCTCATTTATTGTTATCTAGTCCTATGAGGTCGAAATTATTATTTTTCCCATTTTATAGATGAAGAAATGGAGGCTCAGAAAGGTTAAATAACTTACTAAGGATACCCAGCTAATGAGTGAGAGACCCATAGTTTGAAACCAGACCATCTGACTATAGAGCCTGTGCTCCTAACCACAGGGCAGTGGGAAGAGGATAAACCAGTGCTGTCCCTTATGTAAATATTCACCATGGATGATCAATCAGTTATAGACAGTAATGGATAACTGAGTAGAAGTACAAGCAAAGAAGTTGCCATTATCATGATTTGGTTCAAGAAGTCATAATAAGTAAGGATGTGTCATAGATTTTTTTCAGTCTTTTCACTATGTTACAAATTCCCAAGAAGGATCGTGTGATTCATATGTGAATTGTGTGTAATAAAATAGTCAAAGTTCAAAATCCCATTGAGATAACAAAGAGGTTTCTATATTATATGGAAAACTCAGAAATCAGCAAGACAGACATTAAGACCCATTTACATAAATAGGGAAAGTATACGAACAGACAGCACAAATACGGTTAAGAAATACAGAAAGTTCCACCTTGTAAGTTATCAAATGCAGATTTAAATCATAATGTGGTGTGAGTTTTTCCTAGTAAATTAGCAAGAATTTATAAAATGTTAATGCCCAAAGCCGGTACTCTCATTCACTGCCAATGGCTTTGTAAAGTACTGCATTAGAAAAACAAAATAATTCAATCAGTATATACTTGGCACCAATTTAATAAATACGAAATGCATGTACTTTTCCTATTATATTGAAAAGCATATTTTATTAAGCTAGTCTGCACTAGACAAAAAAAAAAAAAAATTATATTAGTTTGTTTTTGAGACATAGTCTGGCTCTGTCGCCCAGGCTGGAGTGCAGTGGTGTGATCCTGGCTCATTGCAGCCTCCACCTCCTGGGCTCAAGCCATCCTCCCACTTCAGCCTCCCAAGTAGCTGGGACTACAGGCACGCACCCCTATGCCTGGCTAATTTTTGTATTTTTTGTAGAGGCAGGGTTTCACCATGTTGCCCAGGCTGGTCTCAAACTCGTTAGCTCAAGTAATCTATCTGCCTCAGCCTCCCAAAGTGCTGAAATTACAGGTGTCAACCACTGTGTCCAGCCTGTATTAAATACTTTTTTTAAAAAATCACCTACAGAGGAAAATAAATGAACAGGTGTTGAGCAGAAATGTTGATTTATATTCTCCTTGAAATTATTAACCATGAGGGATATGTCTTAATTGCCCACCCACTGCAAGCTTAAATTGCATAATCATCTGCCAGTAACTGATTGTTTATGTGTAATCTCCTGGTACATAGGAACATGTGTTTTTTATATACGAGTATTCTATAGTTTTGCTACTAGTTAATTAAACATGGGAAAATGACTTAAATTTATTTATTCACTGTTACAGATTCCCCAAAATTTTCAGAAATTATTCTTTATTTCAAAAAACTAAAGAATGATGAAGTTTTTAAATTAAAGGGGTGATTTTATAGTTTTAAAATTTAGTTTATATTTGCTTACTCTATAGATGTGACTGGGCAAATAACTGTATAATTATTTTACAGGTATTCACAGTTTTACACGGAAGATAGCTTTTGCCATTATAACATGTTTAACCATCATTTCTTTGATGGAAAGGTAAGAGTTGTGACCATTATCTCATTGTTCTCTTATTGTGGAATAACAAGTTTCAGAGTGCCTTCTTTGTTCTTTCTCTAAATTCCCTCAAGGTCAAATTGTGGCTGTTCTACCATTTATTGATATTTATTTTTGTTCTTTCACTGTTTATTGAGCACCTAGAAGTGATTTTATTATTCCCTTGTTATGACCTTTCACTACTTTTTGGATGAAGGCCCACATTCTTAGAAGGCCCGTGGGCTCTGTGTGATCTGACCCCGATTTCCACTCTAGCCTCCCCTCTCCCTGTTTCCCCTTTGCTGTCTGTACTTAGGGCTCAGGGCTTTTATCTGGAACTGGTCAGATGTCTTTCCACCACAGTGAAGACCCATGCTGTTCCTGCTGGTTTCTGCTGTCTTTTTGTATTGATAACTCCACTCATCCTTTAGAACTTTGTTCCAAATCACTTCTTCCAGCCTCCCCTGACCCCAGCTCCCCAAAGGGTCAAGTTCTCCTTTGTAGACTTAACCACAGTGTAATTAAATACATGTGTCAGGGCTGGGGGTGTATGGAAAATCTTGCGTCCTTCCTCTCACTTTTTCTGTGAACCTAAAACTGCTCTTAGAAAAAAAAGGGTGGGGTGGGGGTTTCTTAAAAAAAAAAAGACAGTAGCTTAAAAAAAGCTTTTTTCAATATGATGTTAATAATGTCACTGAGAATAAACAGCTTAGCAGAGCTGATACATTTAGTTTGAGCTCTTCGTCAGGCCTATTATAAAATAAAATCTCTAACCAGCCAAGTAATCACACCTGCTAGGATGCTGGCCAAAATTATTTTGAAATTATCAAGACACCCTGTAGCCTACCCATAGATATATGCATACATGTCAATTTTGTAAAAATTTTGGGCCATGCTTACTGTATATTGTGATTTGAGATCCTAACTAATGATAGGATGAAAACCAAGCAAGACTTTAAAAGTCAGCATTCAGGAAATGAAAACAAATATGAAATTGTTGATTGGGATTGAAAAATGAGTTCCCTTATTTAGTAAGTATAGTACTCCTTCCATTTGAATCAGTTTAGCATTGGGATATATATTAATATTTTTCAGCTGTGAAGCCATTAAAAACCAGGTATTGAAATAAACAGCAGTTATAATTGGATGTATTTCAGCTGTTTTCCAAAGAGTTTATGTGGTTGGTAATCACTAGGATTTGAGAACTGATTAGATGAATGTGAAGGAAAGTGGGAGTTGAAAGTCACTTGCCAGTGGATGATCAGGGACTTCTCAGCTGGGACAGTGGCAGTGAGAAAAGGAGAGGAAAGAACTGGATTATCACTACGCTTATGTATGTTTCTGTTTAACTTGTGGACGAAGACTTATGGATAGGTGCAAAAAGTAAATCCTCTTGGCCGGGCACGGTGCTGTAATCCCAGCACTTTGGGAGGCTGAGGCAGGCAGATCACGAGGTCAAGACATCGAGACCATCCTGGCCAACATGGTGAAACCCCATCTTTACTAAAAAACTACAAAAATTAGCTGGACATGGCGGTGCTCACCTGTAGTCTCAGCTACTCGGGAGGCTGAGGCAGGAGAATTGCTTGAACCCGGGAGGTGGAGGTTGCAGTGAGCCGAGATCACGCCACTGTACTCCAGCCTGGTGCCTGGTGACAGAGTGAGACTGTCTCAAAAAATAAAATAAAATAAATCCTCTTTTGTAACCCAGAACTCATTGTTCAGTGTGAGTTTTGATACATATAGGAAGGGATATTATGATACCTGAGACAGTTAACTGATGGGAGCATTGATAGTCCTAAAGGTTGGTTCCAAGCCAGGTGCAGTGTTGCAAGTTTGCAATCCCCGCATTGAGGCGGGAGTATTGCTTGAAGCCAGGAGTTCAAGACCAGCTGAGACACGAAAGTAACAAACACCTCATCTGCACAAAAATTTAAAAGTTAGCTGGATATTTGGGCATGTGCCTGTACTTGCAGCAACTCAGGAAAGGCAGGCTGAGGCAAAAGGATTGAGCCTAGGAATTGGAGGCTGCACTGAGCTTTGATAGCACCACTGTACTCCAGCCTGGGTAACAAAGACAGACCCTGTCTCTTAATTAAAAAAGATTAATTCTAGGACTGTAAATAGTTAAACAGCATGGGATACGATGGAAATCCTCAGCAGCATTGATTTTGCATTCCAATTTCACGTTGACCTGATATATAAGATGGCTTTTTGTTTTAAAGGCTTTTATCTTGATAACATGATATCCGGAGTTAAAGTATTGGCATATTTCCACACATCTGTACTATCCTTAGGTGTCATTGCTTAGGAATGAATATGATTTGAACTCATTCATGTTAAGAGAGGGTACTAAATTGAGAACCAGGCAAATCCACCACCTACAGCAAAAGCGACCCTAAAGTAAATTGGTTGAAGAAATTATATCCCAAAGATACTTGGTGAATTTTGAAGTCTTCATCAGTATATCCAGATTAAAAGGAGATGACAGAAGCCAAAATAAAAGAACTATGGGCTGACAGGACAACTGGATTAAAATAAGCATCAGTTACATTAGAAAGAGCTAACTTGAAGATAAATCTTTTCACTCCAGCTCTTTAGAGGATCTAAAGTCACCTTGATAGACAGTGGAAGAAATTACAACATGGAATTCCTTGAATAAAAATTTATTGACCTTAAATAATTTTGGCTAATGTTACACATACACAATTATTTAAAAAAAAAAAAAAGAAAAGGGTTGTCTAGGCAGTTAGAGGACTCTACTGAGGGAGAAGTCCAAGCTGACTTGGTAGAATGGCCTGGATTTGTGTTTTTTCTTCCAAACAGATGGAAGCAAAGTTTGGAAATGTGGAGTTTGTGGGTCTGGTGGGATATTGATGTATCCAGCATGACCACTTGAAACCACAGGGCCTTGCCCTTGGTGACGTCAGGGCTGTGATGTAGAGATGAGGAGGTCATTGAGTTTGTATTATTACTTGATGCTACAGTAGTGAGTTAGGGTTTTCTTGTTGTTGTCTATTTTAATACCATGCTATGATTTGGCTTTTTATTTTGAACAATAAAGACAAGGATAGAATTACATTTATGTTGGCTAGCAATTACATAACAGTTGGCAATTGTTTATATTTTTGAAGAGTAACAGGTAATTAGCCTTTTTCTTGGAAACGCTTTGAAGCTTATAGAAAGTATGTAGCATTACCTTAAACATTTCTAGGATAATGGTTGGAATAAGCTGCCAAGATTGAGTTCCACTTTATCTTCCCTGAAGAAAAGAGTCGTCCAGCTCAGGCGTTCCTTACTCTGTATTTCAGCAGCAGCCTCTAAATAGCACTGCAACTGTAGAGACTGATCCGCGGAAACCCATTGTTTTAATGATTTTACTATCTTCCCTTTTTCTGCCTACTCCTGGAGTCAAGTTTTTCACTAGAGATTTACCATCCACTAATCAATCTCTAAGTATGGAAGTGTCGGCTCGGTGCCTGTGAGGCTGTCCAGGGATGCTTAGAAGAATAGAAGACTCTGCTAGTGCACCTCAGCACTTTCCAGTCCGCTAGATTAAAAGCAGGAGTTCCCCACACAGAATTTCTTATTGGAAATCATATATCTTTAAAAAATGCCATCTACCTTAATGGCAAAGGGGGTTAAAGTATGTAAAGAGGATGGCTAATTAAATTGCCGGGCACTTTTTAAATGATAACTGAGATAAAGGAAAGAGTCAGGTGACTGTCAATATTGGTGATAAGCAAGTATCTATTTCCCATAGGAGGTCGTCATTAAGACCATCAGCAACTCGTGTTGGGCCATGATGCCATTGATTCTTACCTGGAAGAAAAATATCCTTTAAAAATATTTTCAAAGTTAGGTTAGGAGTTAGACATCATTGACATATAATTTCTCTTTTCTACTTTTAAATCTAAGGACTTTGAAGATTTCAATATCATCATCTGAAAGTCCTTGTTCATGTAAGCAGGTTAAGGAAGTGCAGACAGCACTTGAAAAATGATTAACCTTCTTGACAAGTCATCCTCTGCTGTAGGAGTTCCAGTAGGAAATTAATGAAGACTCTCCTGGGGAAAAAGGTTTTCCTCTCATCAGTGGGGTCTTCTAAAATGATTTAGCAGTAGAACAAAATATATTTTATTAGAAAGTACATATAGGCTTATTAAAGTTTAAAATGCCATTAAATTTTAAAATCTCATGTCATTTTCTATACTGTGTTGACTTATTTTGGTAGATGAGTACAGTCAGCTCTCCCCGTCTGTGGTTTCCACATCTGTGGATTCAACCAACTGCAGATCAAAAATATTAAAAGAGAAAAAAGTATGGTGGTGATTGTACTGAACATGTACACTTTTTTCTGATTATTATTCCCTAAACCATAGAGTCTAAGAACTATTTGTATGTCATTTACATTGTATTAGGTATTATAAGTAATCTAGAGACGATTTAAAGTATATAGGAGGATGTGAATAGGTTATGTGTAATACTACAAATTTTATATCAGGGACTCCAGCACCTGCAGGCTTTGGTATATGCTGGGGTCCGGGAACCAGTCCCTCAGGGATACCAAGGGGCTGTACTTGAAAGCTTCTTGCAAGTCAGTTGACTGGAGATACTGTTATGTGGTATCTCTTAATAACTTCACCCATAGCAAAAACCGTTAAATATCCTTATTAATGTTTACTTTGCAGTTACTCAGAAAGCTGAAAAACCTTTGGGAAAATGTGTTAATAGCATGGTTTCATGGACCAGATAAGCTTTGTTGTTTGTGAACTTTCATTTTTTACTTACTGACAGTGAATGTTCCAATATGTCTGCCTGATACTCAAAAACATGTGCATGTTTAACTGTCAATTTGTGGCTGTTATTAAACTGAACTCATGGCATTGGACAAACCAAATAGGAAGACAACGTCTTACTCCTCTTTGTGTCCCAAGCGCTTAGCAGCATCCCAGCTTCTGTTTGCCGAATTGAATTTAACATTTTAGATAGTTTTCATGGGTAATGAGTTTCTTTTAGGACACTAAATTTAGCCTTTTAATTTAACCATTTGAAATGTGTAGTCTTCTGATAGTGATGGTGTTTGAACTTGCAATTTTAAAAACCTGCTTATCAAGAAAACCAAAGATAAAATCTTACAGGGGCTAAGAGAGGCTTCAGCATGTCACTGAGGGATGCTGCAGAGGCAAGATGACTTGGTAAAGTTTCCAGGATTAAGAGTGAGACTGAGTCTAATGCATTCTCCTCCAAATAGGATGAAGTGCCTCTCTCTCGTCCTAATTTAGAAATGAATTTTTATTTGTTCCAGACTGCCCTTGAAGTATGCAGAGCATTTTTACAGGAAGATAAAGGCGAAGGAGTCATTATGGTGACAGATCCTCCATTTGGTGGCTTGGTTGAACCTCTGGCTATTACATTCAAGAAGTTAATTGCTATGTGGAAAGAAGGTCAAAGCCAAGGTGTATAATTTATTACTGCAAAATAAACATGTATCTGTGTATCTACTTCCTGTCAAATATTAGCTGAGCTCAGTGAATCAGCACTGATAGAATATATATGTCTTGAGTTCTCTTTTTAAAAACAAACTTATTTGATGTTGCAGCAAACTTCATTATCATGATATACTTTGTATTATTTCAATCATGTGCATTTTTTTTAATGACTTGTAGGTAAAATACTATATTTTGATGGGGATAATGGGACATTATGCAGAAGAGCAGGAACTGTTGTCATTTATTCAGTAAATACTTACTGAGTGGCCACTGTGTGCCAGGTACTGTTTAGGTACTAGGAATAGATTTGTGTGTCCTGTGGACCTTACATTGCCTGTACCTAAAGCCTTGGCCAGAATTCTAAGAGGGCATTCAACCTGAGGTCCAGGGTTCTATGCTTTGCCAGGATTCGAGTTTGGAGGTTGGACATCCCATAGACTGATCATGGTTATAAGTGACACAGATTCCCAGCCCTAGAGCTGGGTTAGTGGCTGGGGGTTATTATTCAGTTTAAAGCAGCTTAGGACTTCAAAGTATTTTATATAATTATCTTAATTAGTTGGTACATTCATTTTTTTATAAATATTTTCTAGCTTACAAGTTGATAAATTTGTTAGAGTGTCAGGAATTTTGTGATCAGCCTTCTCCACTAATTGTGCTTTGGGAGACAGAATGCAAATGAAATCTATAATGTGACTCATATGGTTAAGTATTTCACTTATTTGCTGTTTTTAAGTCCACTAATTAGAGTGGATAAAATCAATGTCATTGGGGAAGCAATAAAGAGCTTTTGTGGGCTTGAATTCCTCTTCTGCCACTTACTAGCTGCATGGACTTGACAGTTTATGGCTTTAGTTTCCCTGTCTGTAGAATGGGATAATGTCTAATTCTAGGGATTATTGTAAGGAGACAGTACATAGAAAGTACTTATTATCGCTTAGTGTAAACATTATGATTAGGCTTCCTTCTGATTAAGGCTTTTCAGCCTGTTGGAGTTTTAGCTGTAATAGTGCTTGTACTAATCTATAATAAGTACTATTTACAAAGTACCTAGCCTATACTAGATGCCTTGTAAGTAATAGCTGTGTTCCCTTTCTATCACAAAAACTAATTTTGGTAAAACTTTTTAAGAATTTTTCGTGATTCAGAAACGATTGATTCATCCTTGGAAACCAAGATAATGAGTTGCGGCAGAGCTGGGATTCACACCCAAGGCTACTGCCCTCTAGTCCAGAGGTCCTTCCACTATATCATGACTACCTTTGTGCTTCAAAAATGACACTCCTTTTCTATTTTCAATTTTTTAGGTAATATCTTTGCCTTACCTAGACAATAGTAATATACATGTAAGGGTGACTTTTACATACTCTTAGTAGCTATGTTTCTGTATAAAGGAATATTTCCACCAACTTTTGGGAATAGTCAGGTTTGAAATGGCACTCTGGTAAACATTTTCTGTTTTTGTGTGAGATTTAAATGTGTTGAATCATTGCAATCTCTCATGCTAGCAGAAGTTTTTCTATTGTAGCTATTTTTTCTTTAATATACTATTATTTTTCCCTTTTTTTGATCCATTAGATGACAGTGACAAAGAACTACCCATTTTCTGGATTTTCCCCTATTTTTTTGAATCCCGAATTTGTCAGTTTTTTCCAAGCTTCCGGATGCTGGATTACCAGGTAGAGTACATTTTCTGTTTGCTGGCATGGTTGGGGAATGGAGATTCTACTTAAATACTCATGAGACTACCCATTGATTTTAGTAAATTAAAATACAATGAGCTGTGTTAAACACTAAAATTATACCATATATAGCTCAGTCCAGTGGTTCCGAAATGTCTGTAATCCCTAGGGTGCTTGTTGAAAATACAGATTGAGCACCAAAATAAACCCACTAAATCAGAAGTAGAGGACAAAGCTCCAAGAAAAAATCTCTCAGCAAGCTCCTCGGGTGATTCTAAGTGTGCTAGGTTTTAGAGTAGCTGATTTAATCTTTTGTCATCACTGGGAGATTTTGCAGCCCCCAGGATCATCATTATGAACATTGGTTTGCTCTGTTCAGAGCATATAGAAAGGCAAATCACCTTTCTGTTTGGTGGAATGCCATGTATACTTTACTGTGCCATGGATACTTTACTGGGATGTCAGGAGTGTCGGAGAAGGCAGAGATGGCTCTGTGTGAACGTGTTGATTCTGGGAGGAAGTTACTGGAGTGAGTGGACTTCCTCCTTCACAGCAATGCCTGTGGAATTTTCCCCATGCTTGAAAGGACGATGAGGCTGCTGTCCACAGTAGCTCTACAAGTTCCTTTAAGCTCATTTTGCTTTAAACTCCACTTTCCTGTATCTTTTCCTTGTATTTGAAGTTAACCCTGTTGTTGCCATCACCATGTATGGTCTTCAGGCAGGTACTGCTTTCTTTTTTTTGTTGTTTTTTTGTTTATTTTTTTGAGACAGAGTCTCACTCTGTCACCCAGGCTGGAGTACAATGGTGTAATCTCAGCTCCCTGCAACCTCTGCCTCCCAGGTTCAGGTGATTCTCATGCCTGAGCCTCCCAAGTAGCTGGCACTACAGGGATGTGCCACCATGCCCAGTTAATTTTTTTTTTCCTGTATTTTAGTAGAGACAGGGTTTTGCCATGTTGGCCAGGCTGATGTTGAACTCATGGCTTCAAGTGATCTGTCCCCCTCAGCCTCTCCAAGTTCTGGATTATAGGTGTGAACCATTGCACCCAGCCTGCTTCCTTTTTTTGTAAGAGTCTTCTATTTGAGTTTTCTGGATAATCGAGTTGCCTCTGATTAAGGCAGAGTTTTAGCCATAAATGTCTTCACCGGCTGTTGCAAGCTAGCACTTGGTTCTAATCTTTCTAATCTTGAAGGCATATACCATTATGAAAATTATTTTAAAATTCTGAAAGAAACAGTGTTACCAAAAATTAGGGTAAGTTGTGATTCCACCCAAACAGCAGACACTATACTTTCAAAGTGTTCACTTTTAATCTTTTTTTAAAGCACTTTTTACATATTTGTAATCATAGAAGACAATGTTGAATTCTGCTTTTTCCTGGTGTCTTATAAGTATACATTTTTAAACATAGCTACACAATCTTTGTGCTTTAATAACTTTAAATTATTTCATTAACAGGCTATAGTATTATTCCCTTATTTTTGGACAATAGGTTGTTTTTACCTTTTAAGGTGCTATAAATAACACTGCTATAAACATCTTTTATGGTTATAATTTTTTCATGTTTTACATAACTTGCTTAAAATAGATTTCCAAACCTAGGTTACTTTATCAAATGTAATGGAGCTTTTTATGGCTATTGAACAGTATTAACAGGTTTTGTTCCAAAAGTGTGTAGCACGGGCCATTTTAAACTTGACTTCTTGAGCTCTGCTTTGGGCAAAATTTATGCCGTAAGTCTTCTCAGAGCCCGTTTAACTCCGATTTTGGGGCATCAAGTTTTCTGTTACTTGTCTGAGCGTTGCTCCTGGTATTGACATTTGCAATGCAGAGATAGCTGACATATTCTAAAGATGTTAACTACGTAAACTGGTTCTACTTGTCGGCAGCATCTACTGCCTTTGGTGGTGGATAATCATATAATTGGCACATGGTAGGTACCATGTATATGTTAAATGGATAATTGAATGAAAAAGCATGAACCCTGGAGTTGAAAAGGATCTGAGTTTTAATCCTGGTTCTGGCACTTACTTAGCCTCTCTGAAGCTTATCTTACCTGCTAAATGAGCATGGCAATAATGTACCTGTCTCTTAAGGTTTTAAGGATTTTATGAAATAATGCATGAAAAGGTTTAGCCCTGTCCTTAAGACACAGAAAGTGTTAAGTTTAGGTTCTTGCTGTCAGCATTGTCATCACCGTCACTGTCACTGTCATCATTCAGATAGTCCCAAGGTAGGGATAAAACTCTTTCTCAGGTCCTTTTTTGATATATCGGAGATATTGAAATTGCATAATTATATAAATTGGTGCAAAAGTAATTGTGGTTTTTGCCCTTCCTTTTAATGGCTCATTAACAAGCTGTGTTGTTATTCCCTTCTTTTTGGACTATAGGTTGTTCACCTTTTAAGGTACTATAAATAATACTACTATAAACATCTTTTATGTTTATAATTTTTTCATTTTTTACATAACTTGCTTAAAATAGATTTCCAAAACTGAGGTTACATTCCTTTTAATGGCAAAAACTGCAATTACTTTTGCACCAACCTAATAATTTGTGCCCTTAGAAAACTATTGCATTCACATTTAGAGAAGACAGTTTTTTTTTCACTATGGGCAAGAGTATGAAATGGGGAGAGGGCAAAAGAAGACAGATCCAGAATAGAGCAGCTAAGAGAGGCAACTGCAAATAACCAGCCGTCGCTTGTTAGGCAGTCTGTGTTACTAGGAAGAACTTTTGGAAATATTAGGGTTATAGTTTTGAGAAATAGTTGCAAGGTCCAAGCTTGTGGACAGTAATTATACGCTTTAGTGTATCGATGAAGATAGGTTCTGATTAGGTCATATATGTCGGCAGGCTAAAAAGCAGCCTTCTCAATAAGGAGAAAGCCAACCTTTGGAAAGAAAAATGAGAATAAAATCTAAAACAAAGCAAATTTGTTTTTCATGATTCCTGCTAAAGAAAAGAACAGTATACATGCTCATGTTGGAGAAACTGATTTTGCCGTATCTCCTCATTTATAAACATTATTTGATGGGCATTCTTTGATAATTTTTCTATTTTTTGGAAATTTCTCTGGACCTATTATTACTTCTTTCTGAGCATTTTGCTTTCTTCCTTTTCTTTTGTTACTTTAGCTTCATTAATTTTTTTTTTTTTTTTTTTTTTTTTTTAGAGATGGGGTCTCTCTCTGTTGCCCAGGCTGGTCTCGAACTTCTGGGCTCAAGCAATCCTCTCACCTCAGCCCTCCCAAACTGCTGGGATTACAGGTGTGAGCCACCACTCCTGGCCTAACTTCATTTTGTGGTACTTTTTTTTCTTTTATATTAGCCTTCATTGAATGAAAACTTTGAGGCTCCTCCCCTCCTTCATATATCTTTTCCTATAGGCCTTAATTAGGTTTTTTTTGGACATCACCTGAGATGATTATAAGTCACCAAACCACAGTGCAGTAAAAAACCCCAAATCACTACATCTCTTTTTTGGAAATACTTTCCAGGTAAGAGGAAGGCAGAAATGCTGAAATCTTCATAAAACATAAATTATGTAGACTCTTCAGTGATTAAGCACTCGATGAATACGGAACGAAATAGTCATCAAAGACCTGGAAAACCAAGGGTTTTATTAACAGAGATTAGAAAGGAAGGATAAGGAAGAATGTGATGAGGAAAAGAAACTCTGATTTAGAGTTAGAAGAAGTCTGAGTCCTGGCACTGCCTTTTCGAGGCTAATCTTGGAGAAGCCACTTTATCTTTCCAGATTCTGTTTCCTTACCTATAAAATAAAATGATTGAACCAGAAAAGAGATGGCAGATAACTTTCTCTTTTGATACTAAGCCTGATAAATTGCTAGTGATTTTCTGGAGAATTTGTTGAGAATACCAGGCTCGGTAGCAAAGAGTAATGTCATTAGTGATGTCTGCTATGAGGGTGGGGTCAGGGAGTGGTGGTTTTCATGTCCTGAATTTTCTGTATCTGAATTAGATGGTGTCACATCCCTTCCACCTGGACATTCTGCTCTCTTGTTTCTACTTAATATGGTACACTTGTCTGGGGGTATTAAAAGTATAGCTCTTTGCTTTTGTCAAAGCTACCCTTTCTAAACATCAGCCTTTTAGGACACTGTGTTTTTCAAGATTAGTTTCACAGTCAGAAGTGAAGATATTTTGGTTACAATTTCTGGGAAATTATTGCAGATTAAAAGATAGTTACCAAAATTCTTAAAATTTAATGTATAATCATAAAACATTGAGTGTGTTTGAAGTAAAAAGAAGTATAAGATGTACACATGTTAATTTTAAATAAGAGACTATGGGATATGGGGACTATGAAAGACTTTACTGCTGTGGTAGAAGCTGGTTGCTAGAGCAGAAGAAGGCACTGGGGACCTTCTGTGTGTACTGAAATCCAATATAACACAATCCTTAGGGAGTTATGGAAATGCAGGTACTTTGTCTTATTTAGTCCTTCTTTCCTGGCATGACACGTGGAACACAGTAGGCACAAAATAAATGTTGACTTGGATGTCTTAGTCTTCATTGAACTAGTTTCAGTCTCGTGTTACGGAAGACATTTGCGTATAGATAAAATTAAAAGTTAGGAATTGCAGAGATTTTGTGCTTTCCCTCATTTCTATACAGTACTTCATCACATTAATCAGTTCCATGGGAGAAATTTTCTGTTTGAAAATGCCTCTCATCATCATTGTGAGTGAAATGTCAGGGATAATGATGGGAAAATGGTGTATCAGCTCCACTACTAGTGATAGGCAATTTGCAAAATTGTGTTTGCTTTACAGCACTTCCATAGGAGGTTTATTTGTGTGGCTGAAGCTATGAAATATGGATGTATGTTAGAGGTACATTAATTTACTCTAGCAGCATGCATTTTACATACCATATGTTTATAGTTAATTAGCACAACAAACCCGCATTTAAAAATAATAATAATCTCAATTAGGTTATGCAAAATCAAGCAATCAACCACCTTCCT